ATTCTAATTGCTGAGGAACATAGTAGTGAGCAGAATAGCCACAAATGCTGCCCTCATGTGGTTTATACCTTTATTCCCACTTGTTTCTTTTTTTTTTTTTTTTTTTTTTATTTCAGGGTATTATGAGGGTACAAACATTATGGTTACACTTTATGTCTTTGCCTCACCCAAGCGCGGGTTAAAGGCATGCCCTTCCCCCCTACAGTGCTCCCTGTGTCCTTTAGTTGTAGATTTACCCCCTCCTCCCAAATCCCCCTAATCCCTGGACAGTATTGCTGCCGTGTCATCACCCTAGTGTTGATCAGTTAGTACCAATTTGATGGCGAGTACAAGTGGAGCCCATTCTTCCGTTCTTGAGTCTCACTCTGTTGCCCGGGCTAGGGTACTGTGGCGTCAGCCTAGCTCACAGCAACCTCAAACTCCTGGGCCCAAGCAATCCTACTGCCTCAGCTTCCTGAGTAGCTGGGACTACAGGCATGTGCCACCATGCCCGGCTAATTTTTTATATACATATTTTTGGTTGTCCAGCTAATTTCTTTCTATTTTTTTAGTAGAGACAGGGTCTTGCTCTTGCTCAAGCTGGTCTCAAACTCCTGAGCTCAAACAATCCACCTGCCTTGGCCTCCCAGAGTGCTAGGATTACAGGCATGAGCCACCACGCCTGGCCCTGCTTGTTTCATTTTTTACATTCATGTTCTTGAGTGCTTTGGCAGAATGTTTGAAAGTTTTAGTGTGGTTACCTATACTTTCTAGGGGGATTGTTTGAAATGTTTGAGATAAAAAGAATTTAAATACGAATGGCAGTTGGGCAGGTTTCAGAAGAAATGAAAGAAACTGCTATTTCATAATTAAGAAAGGATTTGTGAAGCACCTCTTCTTTGCCTTTGAGAGACTGGTAGTGAATGCATTAAAACAAATACTTCGTAATCCAACCTTGGGCATCTGTAAATTACAGAACCCTTTTAGTGATTGGATTTTGTTTTTGAAACTTTTAAAGGAATTGTTGAACGTATCTTGGCTAGCTAGTTATGTCTTTTGCTAAAACTCCTTTTATTTTTTCTTTTGTTTACTTTTCAGTCTATTCTTATTCTGAGGAGGAACTTATATGCTATAATCAGTTCTCTATCTTTCTTGTTGGCTCCGGAGGCTTTGGTGGAAAACGGACATCAGACAAAGCCAAGGTAGGCCATGGCTTTATAAGTACGATATATATGCAGTTAGAGATTCTTATCTGTATAGTTGCCCCTTGAACAACATGGGTTTGAAATGCATGGGTCCACTTACAGGTGGATTTTCTTCCATCTCTGCTACCTGTGAGTTATCAAAACCAGCTCCTCTTCCTCCTCCTCCTCAGCCTACTCAATGTGAAGACGACAAGGATGAAGACCTTTGTGATGATCTACTTTCACTTAATGAATAGTGAATATATTTTTTCTTCCTTATGATTTTCTTAATATTTTCTTTTCTCTAGCTTTAATGTAGGAATACAGTATATAATACATATATTATAACATAAAATATGCGTTAATTGACTGTGTCATTGGTAAGTCTTCTGGTCAATAGTAGGCTATTAGTTTTTAAATACTAATATTTAAAAACTGTGGGGGAGTCAAAAGTTACATGTGAATTTTGGACTCCACAAGGGGTCAATGCCCCTAACCTCTGTAGTGTTTAAGGGTCAGTTGTGTTTTGAGCTTATCATATTACCATGTATGTAATTTCATAGAGTATAGTAGAGACTCAGTAATCCACATCTTGAATTAGAATGTATCCCTTGGATTTGAAGTGCTGTTTATGTTTATAAATTTTATCTATAACATATTTTATATATAGAAAAGCAATATATATATATATATGGCTAAGTTAAATATGATCTATATAATATACCTGAGATAATTATGGGAATATTGTTACTTTTTTGTACAGTGTTGACAGCACCCAAAAATTTTTAGAGAAACCTAACACAAGTGATCCTTGTGTAAATTAAAATCTCCATTCATAAAATGACCTCAGAATTTCTCTTGTGTAAGACAATTCTAGTTACTCTTTAGTTCTCAAATTCTAAAAACATTTTTCCTAAAAATATTTTATAATTTGGGTTTTAAATTAATTTAATGTGGCCTTTACTTCTAAGTTATTTGAGGTAATAAGATTGTACTGTAGTTTATATTCATCTGTAGTAAATAAAGTATTATTTAAAGCAATATTGAGAGACAGCTTCTGGAATAGTGGCATAAGGAACTTCTTGGACCCTCTTACCAGTGAAACAACCATAACTTGTAAAAAATTATTTAAAAACAACCATTTAAAGTCTCTGGGAATTGTCCTAAGGGTGTACAGCAAATGAAGAAACTTTTATTCAAGAAAATCTACTATTTTGCTAACAACAGTGAGAATCTGTGGCATTTGAGCTGCCGCCGTCTCCTTTCCTCCCTCCTCCCCTGGCTTGGCATGATGGAAGCTATACCTCAGGCATATGCAGTCAAGAACACAGGATCACTCGGCCTTCAGCTCCCAGTATAGGGCCATGCTATCTTTCTGGGAGGGGCAGGCCACTAGCTTTTCCAAACCTCTGGCCACCAGCTTTGAATTGCAGGTACTCTATTCCAGGCAGAAGTGGCTGACTTGTAGGGTTCTATTTCTCCATCCAGCCCTCACTTATAGGATGGAAACTCTACCCCACCCATGGCAGACTGAGAATACGGGGGCCCTAATTGCCCCTGCTTCCGCTTTCCCATAGGGTGGAGGTTTTATGGTTGGAAGGGCAACCTGAGAAGACCAGAAGCTACCACCCATCCCCAGCTACCTTCCTGTAAAGCAAGGGTGTCACTTGGAGAGAAATATGCTACTATTCCTGTCCCTATCTTTGCAGCAGTGGTACAGAAGTTTTGCCTAGGGGGAGAGGGAAGTGTAATAACAGAGAGCTCTGAAGCTCTTCTCGAGGAAACTGACTTTTTTTGGAATTGTCTGGAAGTTCAAGCATAAGGGTACCCTCAAAAACAAGGTGACTGTAGTGATAAGCAATTAAGAGAAGGTTGGAAGTTCCATGAGAGCAGGAAGCTAGAGTGTAGCCCCGCTAGAAATTTACCAGAAAGAACTAGGAAAGAGGCAGCTAAGAAAAGCCCTCCAGGGATTGTGGTGACAAAAGGACAAAGCTCAAAGACTGGTCTCAAAGACCACCCCTGAAAAGAGGGCTGAATTTAATTGGATCAGATTGTAGAACAATTTATGCACCAGGACATTGTTGAAAATTATAGAACAGTCATCTGGCAATTAGTGGAGCCTAATAGCTGGGTATGATACTGAAAGAGGCAGAGAGCTTAATAGAGAGAGATCAGGGAGAGACAAAGAAAGCCCTGCTAAAACCAGTGTAATCCAGGGAGACTGTGTGCGTACTCAAGGTGTACGCTCTGAGAAGGAATGTCAGAGACTGTATGCTGTGGGGGAAAGAGACTTACCTAAAATAGTCTAGCCAAGTTACTAAACAAATAAATAATAACAACAATCTCTGGGAGGGAGATTGGTATCCAGAGTTGTTATAATGTATTATCTGAAGTGTCCAGTTATCAACAAAAATTATAAGACATGGAGGAAACAGGAGAGTGTGACCCATAGACAGGAAAAAAATACAAAAACAAAAAAGGCAACAGAAACTGCCTTTGAGAGAACTTAGTAGACAAAGACTTCAAAGCAGCTGTATAAATATGTTTAAAGAACTAAAAGAAGCCATGCTTAAAGAAGGAAAGTATGATGATAGTGATTCATCAAATAGAGAATATTAATAAATAGGTATAAATTATAAAAAGAACCAAATAGAAATTTTAGAGCTGAAAGTAAAATAACTAAAATAAAAAAATTGCTGTTGAGGGGCCCAAATGTAGATTTGAAGTGATGGTAGAAAGAGTAAAAAAAACTTGAAGATAGATTGATAATGATTATGCAATCTGAAGAACAAAGAGAAAAAAAAATAAGAGAAAAAAGAATGAATAGCCTCAGAGAAAGGTGGGATACCATTAAGTATACTAACATTCACATAATGTATATCAGAAAGAAAGGAGGAGAACAAAAATTAGAAAAAATAATGGCTTTGATTAAAAACATTAACCCTCACATCCAGGAAGCTCAGTCAACTCCAAATACATTATAAACCCAAAGAAATCTACACTCTGCACATCACAGTAAAAATATGGAAAGCCAGGCGCAAAGAGAAAATCTTGAAAATAGCAAGAGAAAAATGACTCACTACTTAGAAAGGAACCACAGTAAGATTAATAGCTGACTTCTGACTTCTCTCAGGCACAGTGGAGGCCAAAAGACAAGTGGAGTATATTCAGAATGGTGAAAGGAAAACAAGCAAAAAACCCTGTCAACCAAGAATCTTATAACTAGCAAAACTGTTTTTCTAAAATGAATGCAAAATAAAGACATTGCTAAATAAACAAAAACTGAGAGAATTTATTGCTAGCAATAGTACCTTATAAGAAATACTAAAGGAAGTTCTTCCAGCTGATAGCAAGTGACCACATATTATATAATTCCATTTATATGAAATATTCAAGTTAGGCAAATATGTAGAGACAGAAAATAGGTTAGAGGTTGCCAAGGGCTGGAAAAGAAAGGGGGCAATGGAGAGTGCTGATGGGTATAGGGTCTCTTTTTGGGGAGGTGAAAATGTGCTAAAGTTGATTCTGGTGATGGTTGCACAACTCTGTGAATATACTAAAAACAATTGGATTGTACATTTTAAATTGGTAAATTACATGTGAATTATAATGTCTTAATAAAGCTATTTAAAGAGTAATATTGATGAATACTATATGAAAACCATATTTGGGGCCCACATTTTTAAAAATTTGTGATCATTTATTGTTGTATGTGGAAAATTACCTTGACAGCTATTAGATGAGAATTTTTTATGTGGGGCTTTATCTATATATAGGTAGCAACTTGTGAGTTATTAAGAGCCCTAATGCAAGTTTTGCACTTCACAAACATACTCAGTGGCCTTGTCTCAATGGAAAGCTTAGAAATATTATATTCATGCTTAAATATTTGAAGCTTTTAGCGAAGATGTTAGAAAGGGAAAAATCTGAGACTGTATTAGATGAAGTAAATACAACATGTTATTTGTTTTTCCTTTTTAACTGTATGTTCTTTTTTAATACTGGGCAACAATGAAGTATTGTATACCAGCAGAATCTAAATTAAATCCCATTCTCTAGGTACTCCTCTAGATATTATTGTAATAATTAAACAGAAATTTCTTACTAGCATCACTAGTTACTTTGAGAGAAAGTAAGCACTGATGCCAAGCTGGGTGCATACACTGGTTGCTGTTGTGTTAACAGTAAAGCAGTTATGGCAACACTGTCTGTCTTTCATGGCCTTTGCACGTATCTCTATGGCCGTGGCTTACGAATGATTTTGTGGAATAAAGGATACTCAACATTTTTTTTCTTTTTCTTTTTTAAATTTTTTATAGGGCAGTCCTCAGAACTAGGACAGGTTCAGAGAGTTCCCAGTTCTCAAAAATTTTAAAAGACTGCTCAAGACCTCTGATTAAAGAATGAAGTCAGGTCCTCTAAAACTTAGAATGAACTGAAAATAAATTTATGAATATAACTTATAAAATACACTGGATGCAATTGAAACAAAGAAGGGGTACAATTCATGCAGTGGCTTTTGAAAAATGGTAGCCTTTTGTGCTTTTTAGAAGCAGGAGCTTTCCCTATGATTATTTATCTATTTATTTATTTATTTATTTTTGAGACAGAGTCTCACTCTGTTGCCCAGGCTAGAGTGCCGTGGCATCAGCCTACCTCACAGCAACCTCAAACTCCTGGGCTCAAGCGATCCTCCTGCCTCAGCCTCCTGAGTAGCTGGGACTACAGGCATGCGCCACCATGCCTGGCTAATTTTTTCTATGTATTTTTAGTTGTCCAGATAATTTCTCTCTATTTTTAGTAGAGACGGGGTCTTGCTCTTGCTCAGGCTGGTCTTGAACTCCTGAGCTCAAACGATCCACCTGCCTCGGCTTCCCAGAGTGCTAGGATTACAGGCCTGAGCCACCGCGCCCAGCCAGATCTTTTATTTATTATCATGTTTTTGGGGGGGATTTGTGAAGATAAATTTGAGAATATATCTAAACTGGGCATTTTAGCAATAAAAACTCCACTAATTCCTTAATGCTTTAAAAGAATAAAAGCTGACTTTATTGCTGAAAATTTACTTAATAAAGAATAAGTGAATAATATAATTTTACCCCTGTTATAAATTATTGAAAAGTAGATACTGGCTACTTGAATATAATTCAACTGATGAGAATGTTTTTATCTTTGCTTTGGTTTACATCAACCATAAATTTGTGCTCAGCTACTTACTTTGTGTGCTGCAAAGTTTCATTAAATACTAGTTTTAAATGTTAACATGAAGGGATCATAATAATTCAGAATCTTTTTGGTAACTGAGTTTAAAATAATTATTTTTTTAAGATGACAAATGAAAATATGTAGGGGTTAAAAGGACCAGTTTTAAAGATTGAATTAATTTAAATTTGAATTGTATGTCAAATTTTTATAGTTGTCCTCATCTTTTACATAGGGAAAAAATGTCCTTAACTTTTTCTCCTTGGTGGCCTGGAGAATGGATCTGTTTATGTAATTCTTTAATTAAAAGATGTCATTTCAGGGAAATCATAGTGCATATGAAGCGAGCAGTTATGAACTTTTAAGTGTCATTATCTCCCAAACATAAAATATATTTTTAAAAAACCCTTTTGTCCAATTTGCAGAGTGTATTATGTTTGAAACATGATTGTTTATCAAATGCCAGTTTGAGTAAAGAGAATAATGACATTTTGTATTTAAGAGTTAACATTTAATGTCTTGATTTTAGGTAGCTGTAGCCATACCTAATAGACCTCCGGACGCTATACTTAAGGATACCACCTCACTTAATCAGGTGAGATTGTATTTTTGAAAAGTGATAAATCCACCTGGTTGATGATAGTGTTTTATTTATGACTCTGAGATCATATAACGTTGTACATCTAAAACGTGGTGCCTATGTCTTCAACATAATAAAGAATAAAGATATGTTTTCTGTGATTGGAATTCATTCTTTCTAAATTTTTATTTTATTTTTATTTATTTTGATGTTTACTTTTATTTATTTATTTTTTAATATGATTTTTGTCATACTATAACCATGAAGGTTCAGCCTCCTTAAAGACATATGATTTAAAAAAAAGTTTGTTATCCTTTTCTTAGTTCCCAGTGTTATAAGTTAACACTTGATTCATGGAGGATGCTACTAAGTGACCCTTCATCATCATACATTGATGTCGGCAGCTACTGTGTTTGCAATGGGTTTTATATGCCATTCATTCTGTTCCACTCTTTTTTTTTTTTTTCAGAATATTATGGGGGTACAAATGTTTTGATTACATGATTTGTTTTTGTGCAGTTTAAGTCAAAATTATAAATGTGCCCATCACCAAGGTAGAGTGCATTGTACCTGTTAGGTGTAAATTTACCTGTCCTCTTCTTACCCCTCCCACCTACGTGGTTTCCATTGAGTTTTACTACCATATATGCACATAGGTGTTGATTGGTTAGTTCCAAATTAATAGTGAGTACATGTGGTGTTTGTTTTTCCATTCTTGCAATACTTCACTTAGAAGAATGGTCTCTAGTTCCATCCAGGATGTTACTAAAGGTATGAGTTCACCTTTCTTTTTATGACTGTGTAGTACTCCATAATATACATATACCATATTTTATTAATCCACTCATGCACTGATAGGCACTTGGGTCAATTCCACATCTTTGCAAATGTCAATTGTGCTGCAGAAAACATTTGCATGGACATGTCTTTTTGATAAAATGACTTTTTTCGTTTGGATAAATACCCAATAGTGGGATTGCTGGATCAAATGGTAGGTCTACTTTTAGTTCTTTGAGATATCTCTATATTATTTTCCATAGATGCTTGTACTAGTTTGCAGTCCCACCAAAAATATATAAATGTTCCCTTCTCTCCACATTCATGCATCTGTTGTTTTGCGACTTTTTGATAAAAGCCATTCTCACTGGGGTGGAGTGATGTCTCACTGTGGTTTTGATTGGCATTTCCCTGATGATTAGAGACTTTGAGCATTTTTCATGTTTTTTGGCCATTAGTCTATCTTCTTTTGAAAAGGTCCTCTTTATATCTTTTGCCCACTTTTTAATGGGGTTGTTTGATTTTTTTCTTGCTGAATTGCTTGAGTTCTTTATAGATTCTGGTTATCAGCCCTTTATCAGATGTATATCATGCAAATATTTTCTCCCATTCTGTAGGTTGTCTGTTCACTCTATTGATTGTTTCTTTGGCTGTACAGAAGCTTTGTAGTTTAATCAAGTCCCATTTGTTAATTTTTGTTGTTGCTGTGATTGCCTTTGGGGTCTTCTTCATAAATTCTTTGTCTAGGCCAATATCTAGAAGAGTTTTTCCAACATTTTCTTCTAGAATTCTTATAGTTTCATGTCTTAAGTCATCCATTGTGAATTAATTTTTGTGAGTGGTAAGAGGTGCGAATCCTGTTTTAGTCTTCTACATGTGGCTATTCAATTTTCCCAGCACCATTTATTGAATAGGGATTCTCTTCTCCAGTGTATGTTTTTTTCTGCTTTGTCAAAGATCACATGGCAATATGATGATGGTTTTATATCTGGGTTCTCCCTTCTGATCCATAGGTCTATGTCTCTGTTTTTGTGCCAGTACCATGCTATGTTGGTTACTATATCCTTGTAGTATAGCTTGAAGTCTGGAAAAGTGATGCCTCCTGATTTGTTCTTATTGTCTGAGGTCGTTTTCGCTGTTTGGGGTCTTTTCTGGTTCATACAAAGTGTAGAACTATTTTTCCTAGATCTATGAAAAATGACATTGGCATTTTAATGGGGATTGCATTGAGTCTGTAGATCACTTTGGGTAATATAGACATTTTAACAATGTTGATTCTGCCCATCCATGAGCATGATGTGTTTTTCCATCCGTTTATGTCCTCTGCAGTTTCCTTCCTCAGTGTTTTGTAGTTCTCCCTGTAGAGGTCTTTCACTTCCTTAGTTAAATATATTCCTGGGCCGGGTGCCTCGCACTGTGGGAGGCCAAGGCAGGAAGATCGCTTGAAGTCAGGAGTTTGAGATAAGCTTGAGCAAGAGTGAGACCCCATTTCTACTAAAAATAGAAAAAATTAGTCAGTCATGGTGGTGCTTGCCTGTAGTTCCAGCTGCTCGGGAGGCTGAGGCAGGAAGATTGCTTGAGCCCAGGAGTTTGAGGTTGTTGTGAGCTAGGCTGATGCCACAGCACTCTAGCCTGGGTGACAGAACAAGACACTGTCTCAAAAAAAAAAATACATATATATGTATAGTCTTAATTATTTTATTTTCTTTGTTGCTATTGTGAAAGGTATTAGGTCTTTGATTTGGTTCTCAGCTTGATTGTTGTTGGCATATATGAATGCTACTGATATGTATACACTGGTTTTGTAACCTGAAACTTTGCTGAATTTGTTTATCAATTCCAGGAGACTCTTTGTAGAATCTTTTGGTTTTTTAAAATACAAGATCATGTCGTCAATGAAGAGCAATAGTTTGACCTCCTCTTTCCTGATTTGTATGCTCTTAATATTCTTCTCTTGTCTGATTGTCCTGGCTAGGACTTCCAGCACTATGTTGAATAGGAGTGGTGTCAGTGGGCATCCTTGAATTGTTCCAACTTTTAGGCATAATGCTTTCAACTTTTCCCCATTCTGTATGATGTTGGCTGTGGATTTGTTTGTCATATGTGGCTTTTATCATTTTCAGTTAAGTCCCATCTATACCTATTTTGTTAAGCATTCTTATTATAAAATGGATTTTATCAAATGCTTTTTATGCATCTATTGAGAGGATCATATGGCCTTTGTTTTTGCTTCTGTGTTGAATTATATTTATAGATTTGTGTATGTTGAACCACCCTTGCATCTCTAGTATGAAGCCTACTTTGGTTGTTTTGGATGGTTTTTTTGATATGCAGCTAAATTTGGTTTGCGAGGATTTATTGAGAATTTTTATGTCAATATTCATAAGGATATTGATCTGTAGTTTTATGTTTTTCTTGCGTCCTTTTCTGGCTTTGGTATCAAGGTAACAGTGGCTTCGTAGAGTGAGTTGGGGAGGACTCCTTCCTTCTTAATGTTCTGGAATAATTTCTGTAGAACAGTATAGGAACTAGTTCAGTATAGGAGCCAGTTCTTCTTTGAAGGTCTGGTAAAATTTGAGTGTGAAACCATCTGGTCTGGGACTTTTTTTTGTTGGAAGATTTTTTATTGCCGCTTCAGTTTCGATACTTGATATTGATCTGTTCAGGAATTCTGTTTCTTCCTGACTGAGCCTAGGGAGGCTGTGTGTTTCCACAACTTTGTCCATTTCCTCCATGTTTTCAAATTCATCGGCATAGACATTTTTGAAGCATTCAGAGATGATATTTTGTATTTTCATGGTATCAGTTGCGATTTCTCCTTTTTCATTTTCAATTGAGCTCATTAGAGCTCTTTCTTTTCTCCTCCTGGTTGATCTAGTTAGAGGCCTGTCAGGTTTGTTTATCTTTTCAAAGAACCAACTTTTTGTTTCTTTAATCTGCTGTATAATTCTTTTGTTATCAATTTCATTTAGATCTGCTCTCATCTTGGTTAATTTCTTTTCTTCTGCTGGGTTTGGGATTGGTTTGCTCTTTCTTTTCCAATTCCTTGAGATGATTCATTAAATTTTTGATGTGATCTTTCTGTCTTTTGGATGTAGGCATTTTAGGGCTATGAAATTTCCTCTCAGGACTGCTTTAGCTGTTTGCTACAGATTTTGATGACTTGTGTCCCCTTTATCATTTAGTTCCAAGAATCTTTTGATTGCCATCTTAATTTCCTCCTTGACCCAGCTATCATTTATCAGTAGGTTGTTTAGTTTCCATGACTTTGTGTGTACATGAGTGTTTCTGTTGGATTTAATTTCTAATTTTATTCCTTTATGGTATGAGAAGATCCATGGTATAATTTCTATTTTTTTAAAAATTTGTTGAGACATGTTTTGTGGCCTAGGATGTGATTTGGGGGAAGGTCCTGTGAGCTGATAAGAAAAACATTTATTCAGTGGTTTTGGAGTATAATGTTCTATCATTCTGTGTTAGGCCCATTTGTTCTAGAATTCTGTTTAAGTCCATTGTTTCTTTGTTTATTTTTTGTTTGGAGGATCTGTCCCATTCTGTCAGTGGGGTGTTGAAGTTCCTGGCTATTACACTGCTGCTATCATTTTGTCTATATGAAGTAGGCTTTGCTTTATGAATCTGGGCGTACCTGTGTTAGGTGCATAAATATTTAGAATTGTTATGTCATCTTGTTGAATTGTTCCCTTTACCATTATGTATTGCCCATCTTTGTCTTTCATTACTTTTATTGATTTGAAGACTTAAGTTATATGAAAATGGCTACACCAGCTTTCTTTTTATTTCCATTTGTGTGGGATATTATTTTCCATCCCTTTGCTTGAGTCTGATTAAGTCCTTGTAGGTTAGATGTGTTTTCTGGAGACAGCAGATACTTGGCTCATATATTTTATCCATTCAGCCAGCCTGAGTCTCCTGAGTAGGGAGTTCAAGCCATATAGGTTTATTGAGAGAATTTATAAGTGGGGTGTATTTCTCTGCTTCCTGTTGAGTAGAACTTTATTTCTCTGTTTTACCTCTTGAGCCATTGTGTTATCTGGGCTCTGACCTTTGTCTTTCGGGTGATTTTACACTGGTAGGTTTTTATTGTGTTGATCTGTGTATAATGCAGTTCTGTGTACTTCTTGCAGGGCAGGTCTGATCTTGACAAATTCCCTCAGTGTTTGCTTGTCTGAGAAAGTCTTTATTTCTCCCTCATATTAATATAAGAAACTTAGTTTTAC